TGGTCAGGGCCCATTTTTGCGATTCACTGCCTGAGCACGGCGTCAACAATCGCTGACTCCATAATCAGATTTTGGGTTTGTTGACACCATGCAACGTTACCGGGTTAGCATGGTGTCCAATATCTTGAACGCGATGCTACATAATCAAATCACTGACGCATGCAAGAGCTCTATTACGGATTAAACCTCAACACTAGAGTCCCTTTATACCAAGAGTTAAGACAACACCCCCTCATGGAGTCACAAATGGAAATAAAGATTACAGAAATTGAACGTTTTTCGTAATCTTTGATCGGCCCATTCTCAAGTTCCTTTCTCCGTTCCTTCTCTCATTCCGTTTGTTCCTTACCGAACCCATAATTCCCTGGTCCATTCCAGATTATAATCTTTGCAATCGGCGAAAATTGTAATCTTTATTCCCGTTTGCGACACTGTGAAGGCCTAAAATACGGGAACCAATCAGGAATGGATTCTAATTGTCTTGACTCTCGGTATACTGCCGTGCTAAGGAAGAACGCCGTATGAACCTTTAGGCGTTGTCAAATTTCCTCTGATAAAATACGAATTTCTTGGGGATATTTTAAACATTTTTCTCTCAATTTTTCAGACTATTTTGTTCGCAATTCAATCTAAAATATCTGGAAATCTCAAGGAAAAACGTGCATTAATTCCGTCAAAAATGCGTGTTTTATCCGGGGAAATTTGGCAACTCTTCAATGTTCATACGGCGTTCTTCCTTAGCACGGCAGTATGAAGGGACTCTACTCAACACGAGAAAGCAACTACAGAAATGAACCCGAGTGACGTAAACGAAGGAGGTGCCAAGGCGCGAAGTCCCGAGCCTGTCGAAACCTTTCCATAAGGATAAGAGCGTCAAGGAGTATTAACGTCACCCCCACCCCACCCCCGCTGAGCGAGCTTTATTGAATTCCCCGGGCCGAAAGAATGGCGTTGTGATTCTTCAAAGACCAATTTATACAACGACGGGACCGGGCAGGGCCTCTCAAAAGCGGCCCGCGGCGGCCTCAACCCGCGAGCCCCAGCGTCGGATTTTGGGGCGCCCTCGCCCTCGGCCGTAATTAATTTCGTCTCCTTTTTTTTTGCGGCGAGTGGATTTTATAACGTCTAATTTTGCTCACTTGTCCCGGGCGCCCGCTCGCGCCGCCGTGAATGGTGCTTCATTTGAAGATTAATTGTTTTCGTGATTAATATAGATAATAGACTTGGAGCGGGGCTTGATTTAAACAAGAGTCAAGAAGGAAGGAAATAATGTCCTGCGACGTCGTTGCCGCGCCGTGCTACGCAGAAACTCACGCCCGCGCCACACGGTGCGGCTCTCTGTGCACAAAAATCCAAAATGGAGATGTTGCAAGTGTGAGGTATTTGCGATTTGACTGTTGATTCTTATGTAAAAGTTCGCGAGAAAACACGATGGTGCCACTGGTTTTCTCTGAAATCAACTCCCAAGCTCAAAAAAAGCTCTCAAGTTGAGGCCAAAATGGAGGGGATATCCCACGCTATCCTGAGAGTCCACCTCTACATCAAGACGAACTCTCCATGCAAAAGATAGGGAGCAAATACATTAGCAGTGATGCCGTATTTTCAGTCTTAGAGTCCCCAAATAAAGTGGCAACCCTGTCAATGTATTTGCTCCCTATATATCTTTGCATGGAGAGTTTGTCTTGATGTAGAGGTGGACTCTCAGGATAGCGTGGGATATCCCCTCCATTTACGCCTCAACTTGAGAGCTTTTTTTGAGCTTCGGACTGGATTTCAGAGAAAACTAGCGGCATCATTGTGTTTCTTGCGAACTTTTACATGAGAATCAACAGTCAAATCGCAAAAACCGGATCTGCACAATGCTTAGGCGAATTCTGGTGAAATCCGTCCAGTTATCCGTTTGACAGACAATACGGATTTGCGCGGCAACGCCAATAACGTCTTGATACAACTATTCGTACTTGATGGATGTCCATATTGCATATACAATGAATTGAAGGCGTTTTTGTTACGGCGAACCGACGCGACGCACTTACTTGGCCTTCTGTAGTCAATAACCAACAAGTTCATTGTTTAGTGCACGTGGACGCCCAACCATTCTTGCTCAATAGATGTTTACAAGGGGGAAGCTCTCTGGCCACTACGCAGTCCAACCTCTGAAAGGCCGTTTGCACCCTCTGGAAGTCAGCTAAGTTAGCATTGAGTTAGTCCACTTTCCAATTAGAGCGGGCTATATCCTATCGATATAGCCGCAAAAATTGTAAAAATCAACCCGGTTTATCTTTTTAAAATGAATAATAATACAAAAAATTGTTCAGTTACGTTTATTCGTTTTTTCTATTACACATTATTATTATGATGTATTATAGCATACAAACTGAACTGCACGGCATATTCACAGGACCATTTGGACGTATTTCTACCAAACAGACCTATGTGGCGGTGAGAAATATGGGGTATGCTCCAGAAATCTGCATAAGAAGCAATGTAAAAGTGGGCGTGGTTCCTTTTGAAGAATTGGAAAAGCGGGATATTGCATTCTATCAAACAGACCTATGTGCCAACTGAACGCGGGAGTCATGAGCCGCGGGCATGGCAAGAGAGCCTTGTGGACAGGGCTCATGAGTTAAAGAACGTTCCCGCCTTCGAGAGGATACCCGTCGTCACCGCTGACGTCACTGGCGCTTTATTATTCTCATTAACTCTTACGCAAGAGAACTAACGAGCACACCCCATATTTCTCACTTCCACATAGGTCAGTTTGGTAGAACTACGTCCATTTGAGTGTATGACACAGCGTCTCGCACGAAGCACGGGTATACTGCTAGTTACACATGAAATTCTCATTTAAATTTAAATGGAATAATCTAAATGTTTCTCGAAAAATTCTTGCTCTATTAAAAAAATGCAATGTGTGAATGATCATACGGCGTTCTTGCTCAGCACGTCAGGAGAGCGCGACAATTTTTTCCATGCATCGCCCATGTGGTAACTTTTCCGGTTTTTGGGCTCGGGGGTGAATCCGGTATTCAGGGACGAACCTCACCGAAAAACAACATACCTGGGCAGGAAGTCCTAAAATCCCACCACGTTCCCGAATATATGGGATATGCAGGCCACCCGTCTCTTTCGGGCTTTACAATACCTGTTGTCCGCAAGCTCATTAAAATATTCCGTTTAATTAAGAACCAAGCTGCGCCGGGGAAGCAACTTGTGGTTTAGGAGGGAGAGGGGCGGCACGCGATTATGCTAAACTCGCCGTCAAGGGACTTCGAACCCGCAAAATTCCCTCCACATTTTACGTGTTATATCGGGGCGCCACTAAAAATGGCAATTAAACGCTTCCGTCCGACTGATCCGATCTAATATACTGCCGTGCTAAGGAAGAACACCGAATGAACCTCCAGATGTTGCCAAGTTTCCTTTGACAGGATTTTTTCGATGAAATTTGGGAATATTTCGCTCTCGATTTTTCAGTGAATTTTATTTGTAATTTGATGTAAATGTCCAAAAACTTCAGAAATAAATATTCACGACTTTCTTCAAAAATAAATATTTTCAGAAGAAACTTGGCAACATTTGAATGTTATTTGTATGACGTTTCTCCTCAGCACGCGGCAGGGTGTATGAAGGCTGCAGTGCGAGTGCCTGATTGAGAAAAAACGCCGCTGGAGTCTTTTGACTTGTCAAAATGTAAATAAAAATGTGGGTGACATGGCTACTTATCACACATTCGTCATTCAAGGGACTGGTAAACCTAAAATTTTCAACCCGCGGATATTCTCCCACAACACTTTTCATCTTCAAGAATTTTCATCAGAAAAATCTCATCTACATTTCAAAATGTGCTTGAAATTTATGTTAGGTTAGGTGACATGGCTTGGTAGCTAGCCCATGTCAGCTATCTTTGGCTGTTGACCCAAGTTCGGATTTCAAATCGGCATATGTTCAAATATGTCAACATCCCTCATATTTTTTCCTTGCCATCTTTTCCATTGTCATGTTTAGGTAACTTTAAATTACCTCCTTAAACAAATTTAGATAAGATTCTGGGTTGGGTTAGCCCCACTAAAAATATTGAATATCACTTAAATGACATAGGTTAGGTATGCTAGGGTATAGAGGCACTTTTCACAACAGTTTGACTTCCACAGGCAGTATAAAAAGACATAGACGATAAGTGAGTATTTGAATCAAAATGAACCTTGCCTCCAGTGTGACAAAGGCCCTGAGACCCATCTCATACGTGTACGTGCATGAATAACGAGGCCCATTTAACAATGGGGATAGTTTCTTTTAATTCGAGTACTTTCTCGTTCAGCTGTGATAGTGTAAAGTGTTTTGTATCGAAAACTGAATGTCGAAACTTTTGACCCCGATTGATTTTTACCCGGTGTTGAGCAATATGAGTTTCCATTTTCAGCGCATTTTGTTTGACTCCATCACATATCGTCGCTCCTCTGACGTAAGGGCGTAACTTGATTTCTACCTGACCCCTGTGCTCCGTATAACTCAATGCTTTCTAAGGCTCATGCAAATATCTAGATACGCCCTTACGTCAGAGGAGCGACGATATGTTTAAATTTTCGAATGAAAACCGATTGATAACCCCCCTCGGCCGCACCCACGAATTGGAGTTTTGCTAAAGTCAGAGATGCCTAACAAAAATCGTGCCAAAAATCAATTCCATATACCTAAGAGCATCGTTTCACGGAGAAATGTCCGAGAAAAAAAAGGTGGAAAAATTCTGCTACGACACTACCGTTCGTCCTCCCGGAAAAGATTTGATTCTAACAGGTGGCACCGTAAAATTTGCAACTTCATAATGAAATCTGGTGATGCAAATGCATCCTTGCCATATTTTAAGATGATCTGAGTCCTCCGAGCATTGCCTTAAATGAGTAGAATCGTGATTTTTCTGCACCATCAGGCAAACTTGCTTGGTGCTCGTCTCGCAGCTTAATTTCATCAGCTCTGCCACCAGTTGCAAATTTTAATTCTTTCAGATTAGATTATTTTCCTAGTTGATTATGGGCCGCCTCACTGTGGCTTAGAGTCGTGCGCGTTACTTTTCAAGATGCCGGACGTTTTCATTGGCTGTAAGTCGAATTACTATCGAAAGTAATTATTTTCTGAAGGAAAAGAAAGTCGCTGTCTTGAGGGGGAATAATATGTTACAACTTTATGCTCAAGCAATAGGCCAGGGAAATATTAAAATCAACTGGGGAAAAGGAGGGGCCTGTTTTCTCATGGCCCACCCTCAATGGCTGCTATGCACTCTTAAAAGGCCACATCTCCATTAATGAAAAAGCTGATTCACGATTCGATAATGGATCTGATGCACTAATAAGACGCGATAAATGCATTAACTTAAACGTAAAATAGTGGAGAAACGCTATGAGCACGTCAAAAAGGCTAAATTCTGTTTCATTTACTCCTTCTTCATAGTCCAAATCCATAGGGAAAATATATTTTGATCGCGTTTAGCAGAGAGGAACCAAGCCACGTCAGCTATTGCCAAATTTAACTGGTTAATTTAATTTTCTTTACCAGTTAACGTTCGTGCGGATTCATTTGAACATTTTGAGGAATTTACTTCAAACTATTCAGAAAATCCACTGAAATATTCACAAAAATGTACACAACTATTTTCATGTAAGAAATTATATTGCCTGATTAAATTTGACAATAGCTGATGTGGCTTGGTTCCTATCTGCTTAACGCGGCTCATTTTATCCCGCACTGCTAAATTCCCTAAAGTGTAAAAGTTGTACTCAGAAGTCAAGCAGATTATCTAAGAGTATATGTTATGACCAAATGGTTAAGCATCTGCTTTAGCAAACCTTACCTAATCCTAAAAACTCGTTTGGCAAAATGTTTACTTCATCATTCATCAGTCTCATTAGGCAAATTCTTCTTGATTTTTTTGCTTAAAAAATTGCGCATCAACCATCATTTGGTGAAAATTGACCACCGACTTTAACGTTTGCGATACTCAATAATTGTAGGGATAGACCGTGGGGGAGGAAAGGCGTGAGAGAGAAGAAAGAAAGCCAAAAACTCACAAATTCCAATAGGATAGTATGACGTCTCCTCACCTGAAACAGACAAAAGGAACTATGCGTTCATACGTTTTGTACATTGCAGGAAGAAAATACTTCTTCTGTTCCGTAGAACAAGTATGAACACTCAGTAGATGTGAAAAGTAAGCTATGTATTGGATTAACTGAACTGGGCACACATGGATCGCATTTAGCAGAAGGTAATCAATACAATATTGTAAAATTTGTGCATATGCAAATACATCTTAAAATTGCCTATAAAAACAAAGAAGTTTTTGTTTTTCTATTAATAAATGGTATAATAAAACTTGCCGTAGGAAACATTTTTTTAAGAAAAATGACTTGTTGCCGGAAAATATATTCCTCTTCCTCATCATAATAGTGGCGATGCTTGAAGTTGGCAACACTATTTCTCTTTCATTTGAATGCTTGTAAAACAATCGATTCGTGGTGAGGCAGCTTGCATCACCTAAAATCGATATTGTGAATGGATTTAAATGGAGAAAGCCAATGTTTCCAACTTCACTGCATTTCAATGACTAGACCTTCAAACCGTATTTTTTTCCAGACGGTAAAAACTTCGAAAATACTTTAAAATCTTAAATTTTTGGGCCTACACCTCTCAGAAAGGTCAAATATGACCTGGCAAGGTACATTGTTTCAGTTTATCCGTATTACGGTTTAGATGTTTACTGTCGTTGTCACGAGATATTAATGTGACCTAGAAAAGAAAGCGAGAAGTAACTTTTAATCTGTTCTTCCTCTGAAACACTAGTAAATCATTTCAAATTGAAATAAAGTTGGCGGCTACTGCGATTTTACTTCACTAGGAGTTGTGAGACCTTGCTCGTTCTTGGTGCGATGAATGAAAAGCCGTGTCTCTGGCAAATGTACAGTTTTCTCTTTTTTTCGCAAATTGTCTTATTAATTCTTCAGTCACACATAATTATTCATACACGGTTATCGCTCACTTAAATTGATCCATTTGGTACGTTTGAAACAAATTTCTGAGGTACTCCCAGGAATATATTTTTCCCTTTAAAGTTGTGACGATAAATAAGATATGATAAAAAAATAAGTAAAATATATTGCACCTTGATTGGCCGGCCCTTAAAAAAGTCCATACTATTTAAATGAAATAAAAAGATATTTGTACATACATTTTGAAAGTAGCTGTTTCAGGAGCGACTATGAGAACGACACTAAAAATGGTATTATTTTACGCGATTGATAATTCTTATTTTTCGAGAATTTTAAAAGGGGCATGATGTGAAATATAGAATATTTCAATATGAAATTTGACAACACTGTCGCCTATACTGTGCAAATAACCGTGACGACACCAGTGGCGTGGCGTGTTTTGCGATGCATCGATTGATCTGTCATTTAAAGGTATGGAAAAATATCGGTAAAAGGGGTGTTCCCAACGAACGTCTTAATAATAGATTCTTTATTATAGCTTCAAATGGGGAAATATCGATAATTAATCGATCATTTACGCCTCGCCACTGGACGACACGAGGGTCTTGTCTGTTGCGCTGATTGTTCAATTACGAAGCGCTCAATTGCAATGCAATTTACGCGCAAGTAAGCCAGCTGTGATAACTCTAGATCCTACAGATACATAGCCCGGAAATTAAAAGACGTGCTGGAGCAATTAGGCACTGGTACTCTTGTTTCATCGTCAAGAATTTCATCATGGAGGTGAGGAACGAGAACATTTCAGCTGGGTCGAATTTGATTTATAAGCGCTCCTTCAATAATACGAAAACATGTTTCGTGTACATGCTATGAAGGGTATTTTTAAAGATGCAAATATTACGGAAGTGTAGGAGTTAATTGGAGACATTTAAAAGATACATTGGAGTTCACAGTTTCATGAAACGTCTGTGCTTTGTAAATTCAAATTTAGTTAATTTGAATCAAATTTGAATCTACTAATAGCGAGAAATATGTGGCTAGTCAAATTATAGCCACCGAAGAGGAATTCATAAGTTCAAAAAATTGAAGAGTTAAACACAGACGCATTAAGTTGTGTTAAGGTTGAATCGAGGAACACAGATTTTAGGAACCATTTTTAGCACTGCAGTTTTCAATTAGGTGAATGTAACCTAACGGTGAATCGTAAAAGTATCTGTAATTTCCATTAAGCACGCTCAAGATAGTATTTTAGTCATCCTTGACCTAAAATTATTGTTTAAGAGCCAAAGTAGCAATGGTCCACTCTGGACTCGTGCACGGTAAGCTCCGCTGTAACGGTAATTATGCACGTTCACGACTTGTCATGTTCTTCTTCATTTTGTCTCATTTTTCAGTGGAAATGATTAATAATGAGAAATAGTCTACGAACAGGGTTGCCTATTCTGATTTGATTCGTGCAACTTTATTAACTTCCAAATAATTGAAATTGCAAGAACTTACAGGTGATCGAAAAATAACTCGGTCGGAGGGGTTTGAACGTAACATTTTTGGATGCATCTTTGTCAACTTTGGGGTACTTAAAATTGCATTTTTACAACTTGAAGACGCACATTGGTTCCTCGTTTATGCATGCTTTTCTACTAGGAAGATAATTTAATCGGAGCAGTTTCAAGGTTCTATTTTTTGATACGACTTAATCAACTTCCCAGTACTTAAAATTGCATATTTAGAACTTGAAGGCGACTCGTAAGGAACCTCATTTACACATGCTTTTCTACAAGGAAGATTATTTGTTAGGATCAGTTTCAAGGTAACATTATTTGATACGACTTTATCGACTTCAGAAAAGGTAAAATTGCATATCTAGAACTTGAAGGCGATTCAAACCAGTGATTATTTTCCGTACACTTTTCTGAGAATCAAATAACCTGGGGTGAAAGACATTCCGACAACGATTTTTTGTCCGCACACCTGATTCTTCCAGTACTTCATGTCCACGCGTTTTTTCGGTAGGGGAGTTCGTGCCGTAGTACCTTGATTTATTTTGCGAGGGAAGCTTCGTACTCTCAAAGGACGCCTATCACTCTTAAAATGTTGGAGCGCCTTCGATTTCGTTTGATACCGTGCAACACCTCTGTTGTGAAATAGTTGCTTGAGGCGCCGTGGCACGCTGCGGCGCGGCGCGGCTGGCCAACTCCCAACGCGCATTGACGCCTACAAACCTAAGGGGATACTTCAAGCATTGCGCAATGCGTGAGGTATCCCCTTAAGTTTGTAGGTGTTAGTGCGCGTCTCGCGCCGCGCCGGTAGCACACCGCGCACCGCTCCGCTCTGTGTTTGGCTGTAATACATACAATCGTGGAGTCGGCGTTTTCCAGCTCATGATTTTGAAATTTTTGCACACTCTGCATGGATTTTCCTCATTTAAATTGATGAAAAAAATATTTATTTAGGGAAAATATAAAATGTGCTTTGTAAATATTAAGGTGGTTCCGTGTCAAATTTAATGATTCACAAAGCACTTTAATTTTTTCTTTTATATTTTGTGCATTTACTGTGTAGCGTGGTGTACGCGCGACTAAACGCTCAAAATTGGACGTATTTGATTCTAAAAGATCGATTTACGTACGGGTACGGGTTACGTACGGGTTAAAACTAATGACCGCGTGCTTTTTGGGTTTTTCCCCTTTTTTATTCATTTTTGCATAGTTTCTTTCAACGCAACTCTTATTTTACGCGTGGACGTAAACTACTGGACAAAATAGGTGCGCGGACAAAAAATCGTTGGCAAAACCTGGCCATGCCGGTTTCTATGTAACTTTTTTTGACGCGGCTATACCAACTCTTACGTACTTGAAATAGCATATCCAGAAGTTGAAGGCGCTTCACATTAGTTTCGAGTCTGTGCATAAGTTTCAGCAGGCTGATTGTTGAAATTGATAGACAAAGCTATAGACAAAGAAGACATTAGGGATAAGAGGGATCTTATTAAACGGGTGGTTGCAATGGACATATAAGGTAATAGACTAACTTACGGCATCCCACGAGAGACTTTATAGTTAGTCCATCATTTACCCCCTTAGTCTATAGAAACCACCCATTTCAACCGATATAGGATCGCTCCATATTCCCTATGTTTCCGTTGTCTATCGCTTTGTCTATCAATTTCAACAATGTTTTCAATTTCCACGGTTTCAACGTAAAACTTTCTGATGTAACTGAGTTGTGTTATAAAAAATACCATAGACTGCCATTATGCTTCTGTCATAGGGGGAATATCATCCAAGAATATTTAACCGTGGGAGAAAAATGATTTGAAAATGACAAGCTGTTTGAAGCTTAGTATGCAGAATCTTGGACATAAGCTGAACGATTTTATTAAAAGATCATTAAAATACCATTAATGGCATGTGTACATTCAGAATTATTGTTATGGTGCATCGACTATTTCTACCTAAAACTTGGCAACACTATTAAAAATAACGTTATCCTGGAAATGGGTACGGTATTCAACTTGGCTCACTTTGAGCAAACTTCTAGATGAGGAATTATGAATGCAGTGGATGCTTTTTGCGGGAAAACACTTTTTCTTGGTGCCTTCGTTTGAACAGATTCGTTCGGCATGTCTCACTCAAAGAGCCTCTTTACCTCTTACAGTCAGATTTTCCCCGTCTTGTGAGCGGAAAATGTTTTTCTGCGTGAATAACACTCTGCACTTATTCCTTTTTTTTTTAGTTACGACATCTTAAACATTTCGGTTTTAAAGTGCGACAAAATGAGTAGTAAATACGTACAATTATAATATTCATTCTTGCACTCTCTCACGTTTTGTTTCAAAAGCATGCATATTACAAGATTAATCAGTATCAAAGATCAAATTTTAATTGAGACTATTAATTCCACGAAAACTACAAATGTGTATTGATGCCCTGCTCCTTTTTCCCTTAATTTTATAGCGAATTTTCCTCTGAGAGTCCAAAACTCTCCGAGAATCCCGGGAAATCGTTAACATAAATTTAAATCATGTCCTGAAGTTTAGGTTAGGAATATTACAGAAAGTTAAATTGACTTTAAATATACGATGTTAGTACAGTGTCCCTTGTGACGTCATGGTGGTACAAAAAGTGACTAATTTTCAATTTATAGGGCGCTGGACCAACGACGCATTTTCCTTTATTTTAATACTTCTCACTGTTAAAGTATTTGCTCCCTGTCTTTGAATGGAGAGTTTGACTGATATAGAGGTGAACTTTCAGGATAGCGTGGAATGTCCCCTCCATTACAGTTTCAACTTAGCGATCTTTTTTTTTTGAGTTTGCAATAGAGAAAACTATTTGTAGTAGTAGCACTATCGTCGATCGTTTTCCTCTTGAAATTTTATATCAGTCAGTTCTGAAATAGCAAATCCCTGTTACGT